TGTCAGGTATTTTGTAATATTTTATTTCAAAATGCATTCTATACTTTTTTATATTACATGCAGCCTATTTATAGCTTTGTACACGTTAAATAAAAATTTGATATAATTTAATGTTAACATGTAAAGTTATATTAAAGAAAATGAAATAAATAAAAAAAATAGATACAGCAATAAAGCTAAAGTTAGTGTCACTATCAACAGATCTCATCTCATCCCATCTCATCAATGTATTAAAATTTTATCACAAACTGTTCATAAGTAAAAATGAAGTTCAAAATATATTTATGGCCAATGTGTTAGTAATACGTAGTTAATGATGACTCTTGTGCGTTAAACTACAAAAACATTTTGATTTTTTAAATTGATAGATTAAATTCAATATACGAGTTAACGCTGTATATTAAATCCAATATACGAGTTAATGCTATATAATTAACATTTCAGCGATACATAGTTAACATACACTTCAATATGTTGAACTAGTGTCCAAACTGGGATTTAATTTATCAAGACATTTTATAAGTTAAATGAATGCATAGTTTATAAAGAAAATACAAACTTTAAGTATTTTTTACATTCAATTTATAAGTTAAAATTACCATTTAAGCACTTCATAGTTAACATACACCCCAATATGTTAAACTAGAATCTAAAACATGGATTGTTTATAAAAACATATTGATAAGGTGCATGATGCATAGATTGAAAATAGAAAAAAAAACAAGATGATTTTATAATTAATGTATACATTATAATTAATTTTTAAACAACCCATACATAGAGGATATTGAATAAGTGTAAGTTCAATACTGAATTTAATGCACGAGTTGAATAAATTATATTATGCGAGCCTCTGGCGAGTGCAATAAATTCAGTAATGAACTTACACTTATTCAATATCCTCTATTTATCACATACCCAAAATAGAGACCGTTAAAAGTGAAATAAGAGTCATTTTTCATTGACGCGCCTATAGTATAACGCTTACATTTAGCGCGTCTTGTTAGCATAACGCTAATGACGTCACGTCAAAATATATGCACGGCCGTGCCATACCATATTTATGGAGTCGCAAGATCGGCACGGGTGTGTGAGTTAACATACACCCCAATATGTTAAACTAGTATCTAAAACAGGGATTGTTTTATAAAAACATATTTATAAGGTACATGATGCAAAAAGCGTATATTTACTTTCATTGATATATATAAGAACTATATGTGTTAGGATTACCAAATATATATTTCATTTGTATTTTTAAGTGTTTGGAGCTCTAGGGGTAGTTTTGAGTACATATGTAGTGTTATAAACAAAATTAGGCAAAAGTGGCGTCCCCTCGTCAAACTGTACAGAAGTGTTTGCATAACTGGTCATGATTTGCACCCCATGCGTGTAATTAGTTGGAAGAGTACATGTGTGGGCTCCAGTCTCACTAGGTGTTATCAGTAGAACATAAAAACATAACGTACAAATAAGTCATAAACTTACCGACACCAGCAAAAAACTATCCGACAGCCATGTTTTTCCACCGCTTCTGCGACGAAATCTCCATCGCCGCACCGGTAGACCCACCGCTTCTGCGAAAGCTATGGCCAGTGTGTACTTATCTGTAAACAGGTGGTATTAGTGGAAAACCCTTTAACAAGCCTCACATGTAAGTATTTTTGCGCATGCGCGCAAGGACAGAATCCCCCAGAGAAAACAAGGTCACGTTTTGACGACGCACAGGTGAAAGTGATTTAAAATGAGACTTTTTATACGTACTGCCGAACTGACACTTAGATTTTGTCTCGTTTATGTATCTGCTTAATTTGAAATGAATTTTTGAAGAATGCAAGTAAAAATCAAGCGTTTAAATGAAAAATACAGGTACTGCTTCTGTACGGGAACTGCTCGCATGCCAGTAGTGTAGACAATGTAGGTAATTTTGATACCCTCCTTGACAAGCCTCAGAAATAAGTGTCAATACAATCAGAAAGAAACAAACTGGTTTGTTAGTAAGAAGAACCTAGTTGTACTGTGTCAAATTTTAGGTCTCTGAGTTGGAAATTATGAAATCTGTATATGGAATAATGTTCAAAAGGTGTCCAGTTGATGGTCCCCAACCAGTACATGTGAACATTTTTTGATGATCAAGTGGGAGATTTTTCTTCGAAAAGAGGGAGATTTTTTAGAATTTGCAATAAACAAAGAAGGAAGTTCTAAACATTTAAAATAGGGAGATTACTTTAATTTGTGAAAATACCCCATATTTTAACAAAAAATCTTTGACAATATGGCCGCTAAAAGTGGGAGAGTTCACATGTATGTAATCGTTGAACTAGGCCAGTATACTGGTCAATTTAGTTGAAAGCGAAAGTAGAATATAAAATTTTAATAATTTACGCTACTAAAAACCGAAGCTGTATTTGACATTAAAATATGAAATATTGCTAACAAGCTGGTTGACACTATTTAATCTGTCATTTAAGCATTAATTTCTTTTTTTACACATTTTGTGCTATTTCTAAAAACAGGAAGTAAAATGAAAACTGATATTAAATGTAGTTAATTTATCAATCTCAAGTCAAAAAACGTAAAGTTCCAAATTGAAAATAATACAATAAAAACATTCACAACATATCACACCACGACACAAAATAATTTAACATTAATCATATAGATATCTGTAACATGACAAATTGAACTATTACGGCTGCCATGGTCGGTACAAATTGTCGGAAAGGGCGAAAGTCTATACTAATTACAAGGTACTCGTCTATACAGATTTGAAAGTCGTAAAATCTGCATGATGTCGTGAAAGTAAATATAGATCTACTGTAAGGAATAAAAGATACGTTTTTCTGAAACTTTTTCATTTTCATGAAAAATAAATTAGGTTTATATAAGGAATAGTTTGAACAAAAACATAAAAAAAAACATTACCGCATATACTGAAAAAGGTTCATGACCACCAAATTTTACTCTTGATATTTTGTCTATACAGATTTGACTGAACTATCCTAATATGTGTCCTGATTTGAAAGATCTTACCAAGTTATGTGTACTAAAAAACTTAACTTCACTAATTTTACTATATTTCACCCTAAATAATGTGTCTATACAGATTTCAACAGAGTTCATTCCGTATGATCAATAGACCACTGTCTATATTTATTTGAAAATATTTTATCATGTATAATGTGTCTATACAGATTTCACCAAATTTCATTCGGTATGATCTGTCTATACAGATTTCACCAGACTTCATTCGGTATGATCTGTCTATACAGATTTCACCAGACTTCATTCATTATGATCTGTCTATACAGATTTCACCAGATTTCATTCGGTATGATCTGTCTATACACTGGCGATTTCACCAGATTTCATTCGGTATGATCTGTCTATACAGATTTCACTAGACTTCATTCATTATGAACTGTCTATACAGATTTCACCAGATTTCATTCGGTATGATCTGTCTATACAGATTTCACCTGTGAGATTTCATTCGGTATGAATCTGTCTATACAGATTTCACTAGACTTCATTCATTATGAACTGTCTATACAGATTTCACTAGACTTCATTCATTATGATCTGTCTATACAGATTTCACCATACTTTATTTATTATAATCTGTCTATACAGATTTCACTAGATTGCATTCATTATGAACTGTCTATACAGATTTCACTAGACTTTATTTATTATGAACTGTCTATACAGATTTCACTAGATTTCATTCGGTATGATCTGTCTATACAGATTTCACCATACTTCATTCGGTATGATCTGTCTATACAGATTTCACTAGATTGCATTCATTATGAACTGTCTATACAGATTTCACTAGACTTCATTCATTATAATCTGTCTATACAGATTTCACTAGACTTTATTTATTATGAACTGTCTATACAGATTTCACTAGATTTCATTCGGTATGATCTGTCTATACAGATTTCACCATACTTCATTTGGTATGATCTGTCTATACAGATTTCACTAGATTGCATTCATTATGAACTGTCTATACAGATTTCACTATACTTAATTCATTATAATCTGTCTATACAGATTTCACTACACTTTATTTACTATGAACTGTCTATACAGATTTCACTAGATTTCATACGGTATGATCAGTCTATACAGATTTCACCATACTTCATTTGGTATGATCTGTCTATACAGATTTCACTAGATTGCATTCATTATGAACCGTCTATACAGATTTCACTATACTTAATTCATTATAATCTGTCTATACAGATTTCACTACACTTTATTTACTATGAACTGTCTATACAGATTTCACTAGATTTCATTCGGTATGATCTGTCTATACAGATTTCACCATACTTCATTCGGTATGATCTGTCTATACAGATTTCACCAGACTTCATTTTTTTATGATCTGTCTATACAGATTTTACCAGACTTCATTCATTATGATCTGTCTTAACAGATTTCACTAGACTTCATTTGTTATGATCTGTCTATACAGATTTCACCAGACTTTATTATGATCTGTCTATACAAATTTAACCAGACTTCATTCATTATGATCTGTCTATACAGATTTCAATCAGTATGATCTGTCTTTACAGGTTTCAGATTTCACTGGACATGATGTGTCTTTACCAATTTGACTTTATTCTATCTGTATGATGTTCTCATACACATATTGCTTGACTTTGTTTTGTATGAATCTAAAAATTTACCATTTTCATAAGTAACATTTTTTTTAAATATTTAATTGTTTAAGATATATAAGGTCATTTCCATAAAAGTACTGGTAGGAGCAAATCATGTTCATCTAAAATTGCAAGAACTTTTTCAAAACTACATTGCTACTACAGACCAAGACAATTTTAATTTCTTAGTGTCAACATAAAAGTGGACATTCCCTCTACACCAGTAATAACAGTTGTATATCTAAGTTCACTCTCTGAAAGAGTAAGTCATAGCAGTACCAAACCTTGACAACAGGAAAGAAAAGACAAAACAATTAACAGCTGTAATATAGTTTTATTTTGTACTTTATGGTCTTAAAAGTAACTCATGACACTCATTGATACATGTATTGCTAATAGATGCTCACACAGGACATCAATATATCAAGCGAAAAGCCAAAAATGGAAATTACATTTAATGATATTAATGAGGAAAAAAAAAACAATTGTGAAGCAACACCTGGTCTTTCCACAGAAAAGAACATCATCCAAAAAAGTAATTTAACCTTGTACATTGTAACTACTCATTGGAAAACGATAAGCAAAAACATTTTGTACTTTCATTAAGCCAAACATCTGTTTCTTCTCCCAGTATGTTTGTGTACATACTACATGACAAGTTAACATATTGATGGCTGAAGCAACACTGGTCTAACTTTAAAAAAAAAAATTCTTCAAAAATTACTTTTTTTTACATTTTTAGCCTCATTGCATGAAATACACAAGTAAATAAAATATTATAAATAATTGTGAAATTTTATTGTTTTTATTTACCACTTGGAAAATATTAAATACAAAAACTAAGAATGATAGAGGAAAGAGAAATGTAAGTTAATTGTAACAAATTACTGTACTAGGAATATGGGGAAAAAATATATTAAACAAGAGGGCCATGATAGCCCTGAGGTCGCTCACCTGTATATAGCCCCCCCCCCCCCGCAACGTTGCAGGGCCAATTTAACCCAAGGGCTTTTATTTGCACAAACTTAGTAGACACCCATAAGAAGATGCTTCATGCTAAACATCTAAGCTCTAGCTCATTGGGCTTTTTAAAAGAAGATTTGTTTAAGTTTTTACTATATGCATATAGGGAAAATCAATGACCCCCTGGGGCGGGGCCAATTTAACCCAAGGGCTTTTATTTGCACAAACTTAGTAGACACCCATTAGAACATGTTTCATGCTAAATATCTTAGCTCTAGCTCTTTGGGTTCTTTAAAAGAAGATTTTTAAGTTTTTACTATATGCATATAGGGAAAATCAATGACCCCCCGGGCGGGGCCAATTTTGACCCCAGGGCTTTTATTTGAACAAACTTAGCAGACACTCACTAGAAGATGTTTCATGCCAAATATCTAAGCTCTAGCTCTTATTGTTTTTTAAAAGAAGATATTTAAAGTTTTTTCTTTCGGTTGCCATGGCAACCAGAGTTCTGCATGGAATTTAATTCTTTGAACAATTTTTAAAGGTGACCACCAAAGGAACATTCCTGTGAAGTTTGGATGAAATTGGATTAGTGGTTTATGAGGAGATGTCATTTAAAGTAAAAGTTTACGGACGCCGGACGAAAAGTGATCACAAAAGCTCACCCTGTCACTTTGTGACAGGTGAGCTAAAAACGTCACAAAATTTGAGTACATGTATAACTTGGATGGTGAACAAAGCTATAGATACAAGTGCCATGCCATGTTTAATTATAAAGAGCTGCAAAAAGCTTTTCTTTGACAACTTAGAGATATCACCTTACTTTATGCAAAATGTTCTAAAAGTTAATTAGGATTTTACTTGAAAACCTGACTTGCAATATGTTTTCAGATTATCAATTTATTGATGCTATAAACATTAAATAAAAACATATAATTCTATGAAAGTATTGGATTTAATTTGCAACCAGCACAGACTGACACAAAACTGTGCCAGCTAGTTTATAAGGGTATACACTCTTTGCAGCTTGGACAATAAGACCCTTCCAACCATGTTGGCAATTAAGTGTGTGGTTCGATCAACTGGCAACTTATATGATAAATTCAATATGAAAATACAATTATGTCATATCCTCCGTGTAAATGCATAACTACTTGAATGTTATTTATGTGTCTGATAATTTTGTGCCGTGGCACAAACGACTAGATTCTCTTTATCTTAATAGGACGCTTCAGGGTAAAAATGTCACTCCATTCAATCGACCCTTTCTTGTTTGTAGTTTGGTTTTCTTTGAATCACCTGTAAAAAATGACAAAAGTTTACTTTACTCTACATTGAAAGCAACATTTATAACATTGTTTCTACCAAAATTGTGATCACCTAAATAAATACACAAATTTTAAACTTAAATTCGGGCACTAAGTGTTCAATTTTGGTTAAGGCTTTCTTCCAAAGCATGTAGTGCTTTGATATTTTTAGATTTTATGTACAGTTAAACCTGTAAGTAAAGACCACTCATGGGAATGGCAAAATGTGGTATTTATTTACTTGTCAGTTTTTATCACTTAAGGACGTTTTTGGAAGTTTTCATATAGACATATAGGCAAAATTAAAACTGTTCAATAGAATTTCTTTAAACTTGGCATGTAAGATGTTGTTAGAATATGATAACAGAAACATTTTTAGCGAAAAAAAAATTTGGGTCACCGTTCTCGTTTTTGAGTCATCTGCCTTTGAATTGGACTTTTTTTTAAATTCAAGGGCAGATAATTTACAATGAAGGGAATTAATACATTTTTTTTCTTATTTTCATCAAGCTTACCTTCATTTTAGTTGATATGCAAAATTTCAAAAACAAATTTAGAGTGGGTAGTTTTTATTCCCACTTCTTCTTTTAACCTGTGCATTTTTTCTTTAAAAAAATGGCCTGTTTTTTAAGGATTTAAAGTACCTTTATTTTCATTGAAAAAAAAGTTAATGGAAATGTTGTAAAGAATTGCATATTATTATGTATTGTACTCAACAATAAAAAGAAAAGCATAATCCAGAAGTAAAAACAAGAATTCATTTGAGTATGTATAAGTTATCTGCCATTGAAATGACCTCAAATAAGTAGAAAAGTCTGACAATTCCCTTGAGACGTTTTAGGAAAGCGTTTTCAGGGAAGGTTCTGTTGAAATAATAAATTTGTGAAAATTGCTATTTAGTTTGGTCTTTTAAGTAAAATATGTCTCAAAATTTATTGTCACTGAATAGGGACATCACTGAGGTGGCAGGATGACTGACAGTCTAAATTGACTACACATCTGACTGACGGTCTAAATTGACTACACATCTGACTGACGGTCTAAATTGACTACACATCTAATGTTTCTAAGTTCTGACATTCTGAAGTTGGTCGGTAAGATATAATTCAACCTTTAAAATAAGTTTTCAGAAACGTGCAGAGTTTGTGCTATATGTTGTATGAAGTTAAGGAAAAATACATACTTAGTTGAATGTTACACGGCTTTGTTTTTGGATTTGTTGAGAAATTGTGTACAGTAGTCTTCAAGCCTCGCTGTAATCACTGTCTGGAAAAACTTGTAAAATTGCACATTGGAGTACCTCTGTGTTGCACTGCTCTACTACGCTTGAATGGAAGAGAACAATATTGTTTAAACAATTTATTATGGGTAAAGGGTTTGATGCTGCTTCCAACAATAATTCAGTCATATCACGACGGCAGTAAATACTTGCCCTCCTACAAAGTTTACCAGGTATACTAGTAAATGTTAACTTGCACTACAGGATTTTAATATAAGTTAATGTCACATATAACTAGAACTATCGCTGAATGCGATTCATACCCCCACCAATGTCCTTGACAGAAGACAACTTGGAAAGGTGGTTAAGGGAATAACTTAAGTGACACAAATACATAAAAAGAAATTATCTCTGGTGAAAAAAAGACTAATTGTACAGGTAATAGTAAAAATATCTATTATCAAATCATGTTCGAAACAGTTACAAATAACCTTTCATTTTCCCAATATACTAAACTTTTTATAAGTCAATTTTTGACCTTCAAGTGTGGCCTTGACCTTCAGCTGGCACAAGGGTAAGATGGGTTCTGCACATCGCCCAATTGGAGTGAACATTTGAGTAAAGTTTGAAGAAAATCCTTCCATTAGTATAGAATTTATAGAGCGGACACAACATATTGTCTAGTATTGATTGTATGTAAATTTAAAGACTTAAAAAGGGGCATAACTTTGTCAAAATCCAATACAGAGTTATGAAACTTGACCTGCATATCGTAATTGTGACACCTCATATATCTTTTAAGTTTCAAGCAAATACCTATGCTAGTTTCCGAAATATTCAAGAACATGTTTTAATCTAAGAACATTTTCCAAGTCAATTTTTGACCTTCAAGTCTGACCTTGACCTTTAGCCTGCACAAAGGTGACATGGATTCTGCACATAACTTTGTTTAGGTGAACATTTGAGAAAAGTTTGAAGAAAATCTTTCAATTAGTGTAGGACTTACAGAGCGGACACGACATATTGTGTAATATTTGATTGTTTGATATTTGACCTTCAATTGTGACCTTGACCTTAAAATGACACATGGGCAACATGAGTTCTGCACATCCCCTTGTTGAGGTGAACATTTTAGCCAAGTTTGAAGAAAATCTTTCAATTATTGTAGGACCTACAGAGCGGACACGACATACTGTCTAATATATGATTGTGTTTGATATTTGACCTTCAATTGTGACCTTGACCTTGAGCTGACACATGGGCAACATGGGTTCTGCACATCCCCTTGCTGAGGTGAACATTTGAGCCAAGTTTGAAGAAAATCCTTCAAGTGGTATAGGAGTTATAGAGCGGACACGAAAATGGAGACGGACGGACGGACCGACCGACCGACCGACTGACCGACCGACCGACCGACGCGACAAAGCGAATCCATTATAGCCCCCCCCCCACATTTTGTGGTGGGGGTATAATAATGCAATACATGGCACCAAAGTAAATATTAAAGACCAGGAGGTCTTCTGCACAAAAAAGCATTTAGCCATCCCAACAGTAGAGACTTGTGAAGAATTCCATTGTTCAAATTGAATATTATATTAAAGTCATGAAAATGTGGACTTCTTCATGTTTCCAATGATTTTTTTTAAATATTTCTGACTGTATTGTTATTTAAAAACAATTATGGAATCCTATCAAGTTATATTCATTGATAGACATGACAATATGTATAATATTAATTTAGTATCAAATCTGAAGAATCCATTACATATATAAACATGTGTATACATGTACCTTGTTAGAACCTGAGCTCCTTAATTTCACTGAAGCATTCATACTATCCCTCTGTCCACCTGCAACACATGGGAGATAAATGCTATAATACTTCAATAGTAAGTAAATAATAAATATTTACATTAAAATAAGCAACTTTTTATTTCATATATGAATGAAACAGAGACACTGTTCCCTGGGTTTTAAATCAAGCTAAAAATGATTATGTCACTTAAAATATGGAATTTAAAATTGCATACACAACCCTAACCAAGTCTAGCACTGCTGCAAACATAGACTTGCGAAGGGTAAAAGTCCTCCAGTTATTCAAATAATCTTAAGTTCGAATACATTTAATATGAATACAAACTTTTAGATTTGTCTTCAGCTGTAGAGGTGTGAGAGGTTCTAGAGGTATGACCTTGTAGACATGGTGTTGGCGTACTTGATGGGTTTGATCTACATACATCTCTCTGAAAGCAGTACAAATTTATTTACAGATAATTTAAATTTGCATTCTGTAGGCCTACATATGATTGATAAATACAATTATTCACAAAAAGTAATAAAAATATGTGTGAAATGTAATCTATTATAGCTCATATGATTTATTAACTATATTGCCTTATGTGGCATCAGAAGGTAACAATCTGTAATGTCCCATGCAAACATCTTATATCATGGCACCAGACAGTATTGAACAAGATATAACAATGGTCGTAGGACAGGGGGGACCGTGAGACAGGGCAAACCATACCAGGACGGACCATATCTTTGGAAATGGCGGACCATGACTCGAGATGAGGCGGACCGTGATTAATTTCAAATTTAATACTGCTATTTCATTTATTTATTTTTTTATCTTTTGATATCAATATTATCTATCAAAAACAAAAAAAATTTAAAAAAATAAATTAATATAATTTTATACTAGTACATGTATACAATGTATACTTAGAGTATTAACATTTACAGTACCCTTGCAATTATAAGTATAAAATAGGTAGCGTAAGATAGACTTTAGTGGGAATGGATTGAAAAAATCTTATAAGTAAAACATATTTTCCTTCTGCACTGAAGTTAATAAATTGTAATATTTTTTTTATATAATCCATTCATAACATTTAAGTTGTATAAAGGAAAAATGATTATTTATATTAGTTAATTCCTTACTAACTATGGGAAAACCCAAAAATTTTATATAAAAATGTTTTAAAAAATTGGGTAAACAGACACCCATTTTAAAAGTTTATAAATGAAAATTTAACCCTTGTAAAAAGGAAATTTCAAAATTAAAGGGGAAGTAACCGGGGAGAAAGGTCAAAAAAGAAAAAAATTTTCCCATCAAGACACTTTCCACCAAAAAATAAATAAATTCTGGATAGGTGCGCAATTTTGTAATGTCACTCATCATCATTTTATGCTATTGTGTTGTATGTCAGATGTGAAAAACAGCCCTTTTCTTTATGTGTTGTTAAATGAAGTTTTACCCTCTTAATATTTATATCTGCTGTCTGTCATATTTAAGAAACAATGACTTGTAATTATATCTCTGTAATTGGTCAATTATCACCAGCATAATGTCAAACTCGATGCGTTATTAATAATTTCATTAAACAAATTTATTATAAATTAATAAACTGCATTAATGTATGTACAGTGCACTCCAGATACAACGAGATCGTTGGGACTTCGGATGATTCCTTGTTATAACCGAGTCTCGTTATAACCGGGGACAGAACAAATTGGGGAAATCCGACACTGTCAGCATCATTAATTTCTACTTTCGTGTGCATCCTTTTAGAAAAGTATATAATGGGAGGTAACTCTTTGCAATCAGAAGTTTTTTGTTTTATTTAAATATGCATGTATATAAATATATCTAGCTATCATCGAATTTCAAACAAAACATGAAAACACAACCTACGTCTAACGCGCGTGTGTTTTTTCATTAATATGTACATTTTAAAATTTGTTTCCAAAACGTTGCATTTCTCACGAACAGCGAATAACACTGCAAGACATTAACCTCTTCCTTTCTTGTGACAATTTAGCCGGAGCGCAGACAAAACAAGGCTGACACATTTGATTTCTAATTGCTTGACCCATTATCTCGTCCCACATCAATAATTTCTTCCTTAATTGACCTTTATTATTGGTCATCATGGTTTGTCTCAAGGTGACCAACTGATGCAGACGAAGTGCAAATGAAGTGACCTCGTTAAATTCTGAAAAATATGCATTGGACAGCGAAATTATGTACGTTGTAACCGATATCTCACTAAAACCGAAAAACGATCTCATTATAAACGATAAAAAATGAAAGGAAAATAGATTGAAAAAGGCCGGGACACAGTAGAATGTACGTTTGTAAGTGGTACCTTGTCCTTGTTAAAAACTGTTCTCATTGTTAAAGTGGAGTAGACTGTATATGTTTATAATGATATTAAAAGAAAAAAAAAGAAAATGAATTGACACTATTTAGATATTTTTATAACATTTAATTCCGAACCGCCTCGTCTTGAGTCAGGTTCCGCCCTGTCCCAAAATATGGACCACCCCATCCAAACATACGGTCTGCCCTGTCTCAACGATCCGCCTGTCCGTAATTCATAACATTAATACAATATAACACAAATCCATTTTTTTCCATTTTCATCTTTTCTATATTTTGATATTAAATGAATAACAAGATTAAACAAATGTTTATGTCAAATCAATCATTCAATGCGACTAACACTTTTGTTTCACTCATTCGCAAAAATCATTAGAGAGGGTATCATGTTGCCCTAGGCCGCTTTTTTTAGTAATATCGGAAAAATGGCGAATTTGGAATAGAGTCATCTACGTTAAAAAATCGTTACATTCAATCAAATTTGAGTTCTATCGTATAAGTACCTAATCTCACACCCAACCTATTCTCAAACCTTTCATTCATGTGCTGTTATTTTTTTACTAGAAGTGACTATGATGTCCTGAACTTGTGTGCATAAAAGCTTAGTTTTTCTGACAGACATGTCTGCTGATGTCAAATGAAAAAACAGTGCATAGGAACAAATATTTACAAAACATATTTTTATTACTTTGCGTAATTTCAAACAAATTGCTATTACCTTTGTAAGTCCCATAAATACACCATTAACTATTTGTGAAAATGAATATTATAGACAAAAATATCTTAAAGCAGGTAACTGCATCGTGTAGGGTACTTCATTGTCATGTGATAGTCGTATAACAATCACTTTGTTGGCTAAACTAAACAATAGAATTTTAGAGATACTTAAAGGGGTTTGAGATTAGGTTCTTTATTTTAAGAGACCATGTTAGTTTTAAAGCAGAGGGTTGTGCTTTTCCAAGATTGAAATAGAGCTTTTTTAATAGTTGAATTTCAGTCAAATTTTACAGAAATGTTACATAAAGATTAAAGTGTACATATGTAAAGAATTTTTATAAAGATATATTTTTATTTACATTAAAAGACCTCTTGAATGCTTAGAGGTTTGAGAAATGATTAGTCCACGATACAAACCGTTCAAAAGGCTTTTTATCCCGAAACCAAGTGCCTATGGTTTTAACTGCAAATTGCATATAAGAAACTAAGGCCGTAAGGGAAGTAACTCATACTATCTGAACCCCATCTGCGAATTATGATGAACGTTGATTGTCATGATTATGACAAGTAAGAGATTCAACAATATTATTTTATCACAAAAGACTGTCCATGCGCAATTGGCGCAAAGATATAAACGAATGTCAGACGTTTCACACCCAAGATGTTTCACTATTGAGACGTTTCACTCCCAAGACGGTTCACACCTAGACGTTTCACTCCCATTTTGTCAATTGTATGGACGTTTCACTCCCAATTTTTAGAGATGTTTACCAGAAAAGTTAACAAATTTTAATTTCATTAATATTAAACAGAGTAAAAATGAAATTCAATTTAATGTTTCATTTTGTTGATTTCAAAAGTATTGTTTATACAAATTATTAGAAGATTACTCATTTAATTATTGGTTGAGTGATAAGAGGTGTAAATAAATTTTAAAAAGACTGAAATATCACTTTTATTATAAGTGTAACAACATGAGAAAATTCTATTTATAGTAGATTTAAAAAAAAAATAGAATAACATAGGAAGAACAACAAAGACATATTAAAAGTATCAGTTTAAATATTGAAATCACTACCAGAGGTCATTATAATAAAAAATATCAATATACTAAATATATTGACAATATAAATGATTTTTTTGTAAGTCTGAAACAATGAAATGCGAAACATGTGTATAAAATATTTATTTTTTTAAATTATTTTCTTTATCAATTTATTAAACAGTAGCCATTTTACAAACTTAAACTTGTAATTATGGTGTTATCTCATCACCTAATTAGTTGTATAAACACTGAGACAATCAACTAGCAGTTTGACACCACTATTAAATCAGTTGTATAAACACTGCAATTAAGCAAAAACAGTTTACTAATCAGTGGTTTATTGGACCATTAAAATATTTTTTGACAACAGCCAATTTAAACAGAAACTTCTCCATAAGTTTTGACTTTGACTTCCATAAGTTTTGTTTATATAATACTTAATTTTAGTCACAAAAATATGATTATGCATGACAAATATTGAAAAAGTCCCAATGCTTCTAATTTAATTTAAAGATATTTCTGATTTCAATGGCCATTAAATTTTTTGACATATATCGCAAAAGCACTGAACTAACATTAAATAATTTAACAATTTTGTATCCCATGTTTAAAATTAACAACAAAAAAACACGTTACTCAAAGTTAATTGTTGTCAAAAGATTGTTATGCTTTAAATTATAATTGCCTATTGAGTCCATGTTTACAATAAATCAAATAGTTAGTTTTATTATTGTGTTATTTTAATCAAAAATATTTTTTTCTTTAAGTGAAATGAAATGATATCTACTGAGTTTTAAGTCATTGACAAAAAAAGTGAAATCCCCATGGCATTTAATTTATTTTTTTTTTTTTAAATTTAAGGTCTATTTTAGTTCAATTCAATTAAATATTTTAGGTCTATTTTCGTATATCATAAGTATCAAAATAATTTTGGTATAAAAAGGTAGTGAAACGTCTTCAAGACGTTGGGGCCTCCGTGGCCGAGTGGTTAAGGTCGCTGACTTGAGATCACTGGTCCCTCACCGCTGTAGGTTCGATCCTCACTTGGGTCGAAATCTTTCATGTGAGGAAGCCATCCAGCTGGCTTACGGAAGGTCGGTGGTTCTACCCGGGTGCCCGCTCGTGCCTGAAATAATGCCCGGAGGGGCACCTGGGGTCTTCCTCCACCAATAAAAGCTGGAAAAAAATCGACGAAAAAATCTCGGCGGGACGCTCTAGGATGGCCCGACTTGAGTGTACGGTCGCCCATATGGGCTTTCCGGCGGCGACCTTAAATAAACGCATTAAAAAAAAAAAAAAAATTCAAGACGTTTCACTCCCATTTGGGAGTGAAACGTCTTGGTGTGAACCGTCTTGGTGTGAACCGTCTCAATAGTGAAACGTCTGTCTACCGATATAAACTGATAAAGATGTTAGCTTTAATCTTGTAAAAATAAACCTTTTAACATAACAAAATAACCATACCAAGACTTCTGAAACCCTTTGGTCACATATCCTCGATGATATCTAACACTGTATTCCCTTTCATACTCGTCTAGTTGAAAACATCGGCTGGCGGCCATTTTCCTGATGTTTTGCTGAAAATCGTTCTGTCAGACGGTTTACGGCAGATAAATTTGTATAGACAAGGGGCATGAAATCTGTATAGACTTTCGCTTTAACGCAAATGGTCGAGGTTCGGGTAACTGTATCACCGGTCGGTCGTTTTAGGTCAGACACTCATATTGATATTTCCATAGACTTACATTATAAGAAATGGTCCCTAATCCTACATTAAAATTGAGTTTTCATGCTAAAGAGGTGATTTTTCTAGCAGAATGAAATGCCTGACACATAAAAATGTTCCTGCCAACCATTTTTTTTGCAAAATGACTTCAAAGAGGATTACCCCCCCATTTCATTGAAATTTTCTGCTGATCACAGGATTGACATAAATGCAAATATCCAAGTCAAAATTATCATAGAGACTCATGAAATATTTCATTTTCTTCAGAAAACAATGTAGTGTTACTTTTTAAATTAGTTCTTATACTTAAAAATACCCAATTTTCATCCAATCACCTCATGTATATGAATCATATGGTTTTGTGACTTACCAAAATTGTGGAACTTTTATAACATGTAACCTTTAGGAACTGATACATGATACCATTAGGCAGTACCATCCAAACATTCTTGTTGCTACTCTGTGTAAAATTCTTATCATTAAAATAAGTCAATAAATTTTAGGTTCAGGATTTAAAAACATAAACATCTAAAGGTATAAGATACATCAAGCACATAAACATGAACAGAAGGCAAAAAGAGCAGGAAAGACTTCGGAAGAGAATAATGAGGGAAAACTTCTCAAACCCACCAGAAATTTGTCACTCAGAATCTCAGGTATATGACAATTGTACTCTGAGTAAATACTGCAGCAATTGTGCAATTTTCAGATTTTTATGAAAGTTCATCCTAGAACTGTAATATGCCTAAGTGTCTGAGATATCATAAATCAAATATTGTTTTCTTTATCAAGTACCACTTTATTTAAATATTTTATACATCGTATTCCTTTTTTACTCAAGTTGCCTGTAGAAGATGATTAAATCTGAACAGACTGTTCTGTTTTTATACCCAATGTCCAATATACTTAGTTCTGCTTTTACATTTACAGAGTCTGTTGAGATCTGGCTATCATGTTAAAAAACACAGTTTGACAAACCAATTTTGCAACTCGTATTTCTTTTCTACCTCTGATAACATCAATATTGTTGTCATTTCAGGTATTCACTCACACTTACTATTATATAATATTATATTATATTATATTGTATTATATTTGCAGGTAATGGCTATTAATCCGTATAGATTTTCTGAAATGATTGGTGATTCGCGCACTGAGATTACAGATGATGTGGTGCAGATAGCCATAAATCTGATGAATATCTGTGGATAAAAACTACATACAGTATCAACAGAGAATAAGGAAGCAACAATCTCGTTCAAATAGATCGCCAGAAACACTCAAACTACAACAGATAAGTGATAAAGTGCGAAAAAAAAAGAGCACGATCAGAACGCTCTCCAGAAACAGTGAAAATCCATCTAATTTCAGATAGCAATAGAAAAAAGAGAGCACGATCTGAAAGGTCTCCAGACATGGTGAAAGCTAATAAGTGTATTGACAGAAGTAGAAAAAAAGAGTACGACCTGAAAGGTCTCCAGACATGGTGAAAGCAAATAAGTGTATTGACAGAAGTAAAAAAAAAGAGAGCTCGTTCCGAACTTTCCCCAGATGCAATGGAAGTGTATAAAACTACAGATAGAATAAATAGAAAGAGAGCTCGATCTGAAAGGTCTTCAGAAACAGTGAAAATAAATCAAATTTCCGATAGCAATAGAAAAAAGAGAGCACGCTCTGAAAGGTCTCCAGACATGATGAAAGCTAATAAGTGTATTGACAGAAGTGGAAAAAAAAGAGCACGATCTGAAAGGTGTCCAGACATGGTGAAAGCTAATAAGTGTATTGACAGAAGTAGAAAAAAAAGAGCACGATCTGAAAGGTGTCCAGACATGGTGAAAGCTAATAAGTGTATTGACAGAAGTAGAAAAAAAAGAGCACGATCTGAAAGGTCTCCAGACATGATGAAAGCTAATAAGTGTATTGACAGAAGTAGAAAAAAAAGAGCACGATCTGAAAGGTCTCCAGACATGGTGAAAGCTAATAAGTGTATTGACAGAAGTAGAAAAAAAAGAGCACGATCTGAAAGGTGTCCAGACATGGTGAAAGCAAATAAGTGTATTGACAGAAGTAGAAAAAAGAGAGCTCGTTCCGAACTTTCCCCAGATGCAATGGAAGTGTATAAAACTACAGATAGAATAAATAGAAAGAGAGCTCGATCTGAAAGACCTCCAGAAACAGTGAAAATAAATCAAATTTCCGATAGCAATAGAAAAAAAGAGCACGATCTGAAAGGTGTCCAGACATGGTTAAAGCTAATAAGTGTATTGACAGAAGTAGAAAAAAAAGAGCTCGTTCCGAACTTTACCCAGATGCAATGGAAGTGTATAAAACTACAGATAAAATAAATAGAAAGAGAGCTCTATCTGAAAGGTCCCCAGAAACAGTGAAAATAAATCAAATTTCAGATAGCAATAGAAAAAAAGAGCACGATCTGAAAGGTCTCCAGACATCCTACAAACAAAGAAATACTGACAAAACACGAAAAAAGGCAGCACGTTTGAAACAATTTGAAAAGCAGGAATCCACAGAAGTAGCAATTGAAAATTTTAGACAATGTATCAAACAATGTCCTACTTTCATTTGTTGTTGTTGGCGTTTACTGTACAGAAGAAGTGTAATTCACGTAAACAAGGGAAAGTACACTAAATTTAATCAGAAACAGTTAAATAACATTCTGACCACAGAAACTTCTAACAGTATTCAAATGATATGTAAAACTTGTGACAAGAAGTTAAAATATGGAATGATGCCAAGTCAGGCCCAAGCAAATAAATTGTCTTTGGTGAATCGCCCACATACTCTCTTAAATTTATCTTCTTTAGAAAACCAGCTGATTAGCAAAATTATCCCATTCATGAAAATAATAGCTATGCCACGAGGAGCACAGCATGGAGTTCGTGGTCAAGTTGTTCTTGTGCCTGCAGATTTAAGCAAAGTTACAAAAAACCTTCCAAGGGCATCTTCTGAAGAAAGTCAAATAATAACTCTAGCTCTAAAACGTAGACTCACAGATAAATCATATGTACAAAAGCAGTATATACGCCCTCATGTGGTCAATTCTGCACTGAACTATTTTAAACAAAACAACAAGTGTTATAGAGATGAAACAATACGCTCTGACTGGGTGGAGACATGTGAAGCTGAAAGTCCACATTTTTTCAGAGCCGCTATTGAAATTGAAAATTTGCCACAGACAGGAGCAGACGAAACTATTTGTCACATAATTGACATTAATATTGAAGCAAAAAATGCTGATTACGTTGAAAATGAGAAAACCACAGAATCTGGTAAAGGAAATATCATTACTGATATTTTAGACAGCGATGATGAATTTGAACTAGACAATCCCCAGGATTTCATTACAGATTTGAACAACAGTCGTGAGGTCAATGGAGACACATGCATCCATCCCATAAATGGTACAGAAGTTCACACCAATGAAATTCCTAATCTAGCACCAGCTGAAGGACAAGCACCAGTGTCAGTGAGTAAGGAACCATATTGGGAAGCAATGGCCTTTCCAACTCTTTTTCCAACTGCGGAAAACACTTACCATGTAGATGAACGTCGACCAGTAAAACTATCCTTAAAACAGTACTTTAATGCTCGCTTGCTGTGTAAAGACAGTCGTTTTGCTGAAAGTCCAGTTGCACTTGCTGCTTTGGATATTTAAGAAAGGGAATCTGTTAAACAAAATATTGCTATAACTTCAAGAAAATCATTTTATCAAGATATTAATGTTGGAGAATTAAAGAACCCTCATAAATTACAAAAAACTTCTCACTGAAAATCAGTTGTTTGCCACATTTAAAAATATTCGTGGTACCTCTCAATATTTTCAACAGATGCATTTGGATATGCTAGCAAAACTTAGACAGTATGGACCTTATACATTTTTTATAAGTGCTTCTGCTGCAGAATTTCATTTGCCGGAAATAATTCAAATAGTTGGTAAACAGTATGGACAAAGTTTTACTGAGGAACAAGTAAATGGAATGGACTGGCAAACCAAACGTTCATGGCTTCAGAGAAATCCAGTAACTGTAGCAAGACACATTGATTACATCTTTGAACAATTGTGGGGAAAAGTCATACTTAGTGGTGCCCATCCAGTAGGTCAAGTATTAAACTTTGATATCAGAAAGGAAATGCAAGGACGTGGAACTGCTCATTTCCATAGTGCATTACATGTTCAAAATGCTCCAAAGCTAGATGTAGATCCTGATGAGTCATTTACATCTTTTGCTGATAAATTCATCAAGTGTACCTTACCTGATGATGACTCTGAAATATTTAGTCTTGTTAACACGCGTCAGCGTCACCATCATACACGAACTTGTAAAAAGAATGTGTGTGTCATCTGCAGATTTGGTTTCCCTCGTCCTCCAAGTAATAAAACAGGTAATCATTTAAAGTATGAAAATTATCTGATATTTATTCTTTCTGAAATTGAGTGACTTAAATTGAGTAGTTTATATACCAACTTAAAGTTTAACCATTACATTGAATGATTTAAAGTCACGAACAAATTGTGTGAGCTGTTTGGGTGGCTAATTGTTTTCAAAACATATTACATTGCTATTGTGCTGCCCTAGATAATTTAATTGATAAAGTGCCAAATTGAAATTTTATTCTTAGACTAAATTATTTAAATAGACAAACAAGCTGGCTACATTTCAAAATATTTTGTATTGATTTTCAGTTATTGCTCGTGTCCCTGATAATTCTGATGACAAAGCAGTAGCTTCCACTATCCTAACTAAAGTATACAAAGCTGTGGCAGGAATCACTACAGATAACATACCATCCATGGAACAGCTTCTAAAGCAGGTTAATGTAAGTCCTGACCAGTACGAGTGGGCTCTAAAAGTGGCACACAGGAGAACATACATAGTAATGAAACGATCACCAGCAGATGTCAATATCAATAATTACAATCCAGTGCTGTTGAAGTGTTTAAGGTGAGAAATATTGCTTTAAAAGAAAATTGTTGTTGTAGATTACAATTTGAAGACCTCAGTCAATTAATTCAATATATTGCTATTGTATGCCTTTCAGCATTTTTCTTACTCTTGTTTAAAAGCAAACGTATGAGCTTAAGAGAAAATACAACATATTTTTATGAAAAAAGATTCTTCAGAATAGCATGCAAGTCTTATATAATTATGTTATAACCATAGCATATTTTCCTTTGAATTTATGTTGATTGGTATTTACAATTAATTTATAAAAATGAATATAATAACATCATTGATGTACATTAATTTAGTCATCCATTCCTTTCCATTACAGGTCAAATATGGACATACAGATGATTACATCAATCTGGGCCTGCATTGCATATATATAACATCATGTATGTGCAAACCTGAGAAAACTATGTCAGAAATGATGAGAAAAGCAAGTAAAGAGGCTCAAGACAAAAATATTACTGATAGACTGTACCATATCTCTAACCAACTAAGGAAGGGAAGAGAGGTTTCTCATCATGAAAGCATAATGCGAACACTTTCAATTCCACTAAGGAGGTCAAGTGTAGCTGTGATATTCATACCTACTGGTAAACAAGAAGATAGAACACGCATTCTAAAACCAAAGGCCATTCTTGACTCACTGGAAGACAGTGACATAGACATATACATGCCATCTATACATGATAAATATGCAGCTCGTCCAGATGCATTAAATGCCTGGCAGGGTTTGTAGCTAATTTTTCAACTTTGTATCCAAAAACCTCAGAAGGATCATCAGAAGAAGCACCTGAATGTGAAAAAGAAACTGATGATTATTCAACTAAAGAATATATACAGTTGAAAGACAAAATGGGGAAGTTGTATAGAAGAAAAACTCCACAGATAATAAGGTATCATTATATCTCCAAAGAAAAAGATGAAGAGGAATATTATCATAGACTCCTTCTTTTGTATCTTCCCTGGAAATCAGAACAGGAATTGAAATGTAATGGTGGATACAAAGAAAAGTTTGAAGAAGTTAAAGAAACAATAATACCTACAATTAAACAATATGAGCCGTATTATGATGAAGTCGAACATATCATTGATACATTTGATCCAGGTGAAATGTTACCAGAAGTATGGGACCAAGTTTCAGCAAACATACAACAAGACATTGCAAATAAATACAATGTTAGATGTATGAACAGTCACCTTGACCCTGAACTAATTGAGAAGCAGCCAGTTGACCATTCTAAAAAAATGAACAGCAATAAAACTTTCTCATTAACTCCAACTTACCAGATGGCAGATCAGGACTTCCACAAATTTGTCCAAACACTAAATGAAAAACAGAAATATCTGTTTGATTTTATGTTCAACTGGGCTACAAAAACACGATTACTTGAAGATAAACCACCACCATTTTATATCTATTTAAGTGGGAGTGGATGTGTTGGTAAGTCCCATCTAGTTAATACAATCTATCATGGAGTGACTAGAGCTCTGAAAACTCCAGGCCAGAATCCTGATCAACCAACAGTTTTGTTAACAGCTTCAACTGGTAAAGCAGCAACAGGTATCAATGGGACAACTCTTCATTCAGCATTTGCTCTTCCAGTTAAAACCAAAGCTTCAAAATCATCTGAATATCAAAAAATTGGATCTGAAAGACTGAACAAGATGCGATCATCTTATGCAAATTTAAAACTCATAATTGCTGATGAAATCTCAATGTTTGGGTCACAGAATTTACAGAACCTGCATCTTGCTCTACAAGACATCTTTCAAGATTACAACACTCCATTTGCTGGTGAGGCGATCTAAGCTGTGGGAGACTTGCTACAGCTTAACCCTGTTGGGGACACACCAACAGTTGGTTACGAAGCTTGACCGGTTCATTATAGACTCGTCACTTTCAGTTACATGAGCTTACTGATATTGTTAGACAGAAGGGTGACCCAGAATTTGCAGTCATACTTTCTCGTGTAAGGACAGGGGACTTCACGGATGAAGATATAGTGAATTTGCAAAAGCTACAAAATACTTCAACTGATTCATTTCCTCATGACACAGTCAATATGTTTTTAACTAATGATCAAGCAGGAAAATATAATAATCAAATGATAGAAGATTTACCTGGAAAAGTAACTATACATGCTATAGACTCAAAGAGAGATAAGCATACAAACACTGTTTCGGTACAAATAACCACCAGTCAGATATACTCAACAGGGGGATTATCGTCTACTCTTACAATAGCTGTTGGAGCTACTGTCATGATCACACAGAATATTGATCTTCCTGACCGTCTAGTAAATGGTGTTGTTGGAAAAGTTGAATTCATAAACATTGATGAACAAAAGCCATTAAGGTATTAGGACCCTTATGGGCACTATCAGGAACTAAAGAAATGACATCATAGGTCAGATGTATACCTTAAAGTACGCCTGTATGTAAAATTTAAACAAAGTTTACTGTACGGAAATCAAGTTATGGCCACTTTTCTGAACTCAAGCTAGGATGTTATGAGGGCCCATTTTTAGAAATGAGGAACCTTTAAATAATCTGCAATAACATTCTAATGAAAAATGTTTTCCCATGAAGTTTTGGTAAGAAACAAATAGTACCATTCAGCTAACAATCCACATAAGCAAAATTATGGTTTCTACTTTAAATTTATGAAATCTGTATAAAAATGTTACCCTACCCCACCCATTTTTACCACATGTCTGACCATTTTTCTACTAAGGGAGCCTAATTAAAAAAATTCTTAAAATTTACCCAAATGAGTTCCTGTTTTCAAAGTTTCCCTAAATTTGTAAAAAGTATATTGGTTGATCTTGTAAAATATGAAATACCTTTACCGTCTAGTTTTGTTTATATTACACTTTGAAAATATCAGGTACCATATTTATTACTAGATTTAGCATAATTTAGCCAATAAATACCTATATAAATTAAAAATTCAAAATTAAACACTTTTTTCTTTTCATATGGGACATGAGAGATACATAAATAATGTTAAAAGAAAAAAAGAAAGAAAAAAAAAAGTTGGGGATTGAACCCATGGCCCTCATTTTCAATGTATTTAACAGTAATTCTAGCCTATTTGAATACTCTTCAACGCGGAGGTAATGCATTAGGGTGCTAATACCTTAAAAGGAACAGTATTCTTAAAGTTTTCTGATCCAAGCATTGGAAGAGAAAATAAAAAGAGAAGCCCACAACATCTTAAAGATTGTGTACCAATTCAGGCCATCACTGTTTCATTCTTACTCACATCTGAATGTCTAGTTCCTGTCGAGAGAACAATGTACCCTTTAGTTTTAGCATTTGGCTTAACTGCTCACAAGTCTCAGGGAAGTACCTACAAACACTGTATTGCTAACCTTGAACTACGTCCAAATATTAAGTCTGTCATGCAAGGTCATGCTTATACAATGCTCAGCAGAGCAACATCACGTGATGGTTTGAAGTTAGTCACTTTAGTGCAGACAAAATCAAAGTGAACAAGTCGGCTTTAGTAGAAATGGACAGGCTGCGTGAGCACTGTACTTTCAGTTGAGAACATCCATTTGAAAACTTGGACCCTATTGCAAGTATGCATATAGGTTTTCTCAACATTCGTTCCCTTAAAGCCCACCTCTCAGATTTGGCTGCATAAAGAGATATTTCAAGATTTGATGCACTTTGCTTGACAGAAACTCACATTACAGAAGAATGTTCTTAAGAAGGATTCTGTGGATACTTTAAGCCAACACAGCATGGTCTAGCAATGTTCACTAAAGGAGAGTCAACTGATTTTGAATGTAACAGTTCCCTTCAGATTATGTCTAGAATTGTTTCAGACCAAGGTAGAAAGTTTCTCATCGCTGTTAGTTACAGACCACCTCAATTCAACAAAAATGTGTATTTCGCTCTCTTCTCATCTGCCGTAAATTCTATCCTAAGTCATATAATATTATACTTGGTGGAGACTTCAACTTGATGCCTGATGATCCAGTTGTGATAAAGTTTTGTCAAGAACATCAACTTCGACAATATGTAGAAAAGCCAACTCATCAGTTGGGAAGAACATTAGACCTGATTTTTGCATCTGATAACATACAGTGCACTAGTACAGTGATTCCAGTTTCTTACACTGACCATTTCCTTACTATTTTATCTGTTATCTAAATGGTTTGTATCATTTTGTTCTTTTCAAATATTGATAACCACATAAATGTATTTCTATTGACACATACGGTACATAGGAGTTATTTCATTTTATTTCATTATTAAATAAATTTATTATTGCATTTGCAGATCTAGCATTGATCAAAATTTTGAACTAAAAGTCCTGATCCATACCTCAATCTTTTGAAATAGCACAATTTCGTGCTTCATATAATACTTACCTAAGGCTGGGGACGTTGGTAACTCTGTTACAAATTCTTGTTTTAAATGTGATAGAAAGAAATGCCTTAGATAAAATCATAAATCATGATCAAACTGGTTTTCTTCCTGGTAGATTAATGGCGTCAAATGTTAGAATGTTATATGTCATCTTATTTCACTCTGAAAAAATATAATATTCCAGGATTGTTATTACTAATTGATTTTGCCGCTGCGTTTGATACTGTTTCTTGGAAATTTATGCATCATGTACTAGAATTTTTTAATTTTGGTCCCTCTTTTAGAAGTTGGATCAAGTTCTTCTATACTAATACAGAATCATGTGTTATTATAAATGGCCACATGTCAGACTGGTTCAAACTTCAAAGGGGTTGTCGTCAAGGTGATGCCCTATCGCCATACCTGTTCATCATTTGTGCAGAGGTACTGTCAATATTAATAAGAAAAAACAAAGATATCAAAGGTGTTATAATTAATGAGAAAGAGTATGAGATTTCACAGTATGCTGATGATACTAGTATATTTTTAGATGGCACAGCCAAATCATTAAAGAATACCATGGAAGTTTTAAAATTCTATGCAGAGATATCAGGCCTTAACATTAATATGGAAAAAAACCAAAGTAGTCTGGTTTGGCTCCTACAGAAATAGCCAAGTAGTTCTTTGTCCCGACTACAATCTAGATTGGAACACTGAAGTTTTTACAGTATTAGGTATAAAATTCTCAACAGATCTGAAACAAATTGTAGATTTAAACTTTGATTTAAAAATTTAGGAATTAAAAAGATTATTTGCTTCATGGTCCAAAAGACTAAGCATTCCTAATCCACCTACTGAAAAAATCAATAAAATTCAAAGTTTATTTTATAAATTTTTATGGAATGATGGTATAGATAAAGTGAAAAGAAATATTATTACTCAAGATTATAAATTCGGTGGCCTTAAAATGGTAGAATTGAGCTGTTTTATGAATAGTTTAAAATTGACTTGGTTAAGACGTATTGTTCATAATGACAATAAATATAGTCAGTTGGTAGAAAGTACTTTGCCTTGTATACATAATATTTTTAAGTATGGAACAGATTTTATAAAAACAAAACTAAGTTGTGATATAAATCCTTTTTGGAAAGATGTAATGAAAAGTTATATGAGTCTTTCTATGAAAGTTAAGCCAAAAACAAGTAAAGATCTTTACTCTATTAATTTATGGTACAACCCTGGCATAAAAATTGGAAATTCTTGTGTTCATCTAACTAGATGGATTAATGGAGGAGTCCTATTCTTAGGTGATTTAATCAGTCAGACAGGTGATTTTTATTCATTCAATGAATTTAATGAAATATATAACATAAGAAGCAACTTTCTAGAATATATGGGGATTATTAGAGCACTGAATGAGTTTTTAGAAAGAATTCATGCCAGAGATCTACCTAAGGAATATAAGTATAATGTACATATTCCTCAAACACTAGGCATAATTCTTCATGATAAAAAAGGTTGCCAACAGATTTATAAAACTATGATTGAAACCGGACAATATCCTAACTCTCTTTTGAAATGGAAAAATGATTTAACAGAGGCTGTAGAAACAGAGTTTCAATTTAATTCAATATATGAATTACCATATAAATTTACAAAGGATTCAAAATTAATCTGGTTCCAGTTTAGACTGAACCACAGAATACTTGCCACAAATTATTTGTTGAAAAAAATGAACATTGTAAATAACGATATATGCACTTTTTGTAAATCTGAGAGTGAAACTCTTATTCATCTTTTCTATGATTGTGAAATTGTCAAAAACTTTTGGAGAATATTACAAAATTATGTCAAAGATAAATGTAATATTACTTGTGATGATTGGAATGTTACTGACATTCTTTTTGGTAATACAAAATATGACAAAGTCTTAAATGGTTTGATTTTAAATGGAAAACATTACATTTACTATTGTAGAGTTAAACAAATAAGGCCTTCTATTGCTAATTTTAAAACTCAAATATATGCCAGATATACAGTTGAAAAATACATAGCTAAACAGAATCAAACATATGAATTGTTTCAGAAATCATGGCAGAAATACAAAAACCTAGTAAATTTAGAATAGTGTTTGTGTATTCTGTGTATTAATGAAGTTTAAGTCATGTATTATTATTCTACAACTTTGCACTTCACTGCTGCGGCACCGGGAGACACCACCAAAAAATCTAAAATTCCCTATTATTTGAAATTTCAGATTTGAATCTGAGATAAAAATCCTTCTAGTAGATTTCACCGAACCCTTTTTATTTTCTCCATTTTTTATATCCTTTTTCTTTAAAAAGCATATTTATCCCATAGGTACAAAATTTAAATATGGTATTTAAATTTAAGCATTCATTACTACATTACTTTAAGCTATAGAGTAAAACTCTAAATATTATTAAAGGGGGAGGAAGGAATGGTTTTTTTCCTTTCCTCTTCTCAAA